TGCTATATTACTATGTTTATATCATTTAAATTTAATTATATATCATATACAATATATAAGATTGATTATTTTGATTTATTTACCCTAATTGTGAATAAACAAGAGTAATAGTTAAATTTATATGCATACGCCAATTTGTTACATAATAGTAATTGATTTCTTAGTTATTTAATATATATATATATATATATATATATATATATTTATTATTTTATTATTTCTAATATGCAGAAAAATATAAAATAAATAATAAATATAAAATACTTATTGTGCATAAAGTGCAGATCTTAACCTAAGTATTTATTTGTTTAATTATTTTAAAACTTAAATATTTTCTAAATTTCAGGTCAAAACAAACAAACGAAATGAGAATAAAATTCAAAAAATAAATATTTATACCGAGTAATAACCAAAATATAAAAAAAACATAGCAAAAGAAAAATGGAAGATAAATAGGATTGACACGTGAACGTAAACTTCTCATAACTGGAAGATAAATAGGATTGACACGTGAACTTAAACTTCTCATAACCATAATTAATTTTTAAATTGTTAAATCATGATATAAAACTGAGTTAATTTTTAATTTGTTAACTTTTATTTTTTTTTAATTTTTTAAATCATTATGGCTATGTTAAATCATGACAATAATTAATTTTAAATTGTTTATTTGTATTCAAAAAACTTAAAATATTGCTTTTAAAAATAATTTTAAATTTAGCATAATTTTTTTAGAAAATTATTTTTTAAAAATATAATTTTTAAAAAATATAATTTTCTAATATTATTAGACAAATAAATAAATTATATTAAATTAGTTTAGAAACTTTATATATTTTAATTGCAAATATTTTACCAATTGCTTCTTTAAAAACATTAGGGAACTTGCTATACTCTACCAATCAAGCCCAGTGACACTCCATTTANTTATATATTTTAATTGCAAATATTTTACCAATTGCTTCTTTAAAAACATTAGGGAACTTGCTATACTCTACCAATCAAGCCCAGTGACACTCCATTTATTTTCCATCACTCGAACACTGAAAAGTAAAAAGATATATGAAATCAGATCCATTAAATTCTAAGATTTGATTTACATTTCTAATTAAAGTTGTTTTTGATCGTACGTATAGATAATTATATAAAAATTCCAAAATTCTAAAATTTCAAATACATACAAAAACAATCATATGTAAATTATAAATTTATGAATATTAAAATTTTATATTTTAATTACATATATTCACCCTGCGCAAGGCGCATGTCTTATCCTAGTTGTATGTTAAAAAGGGTAAGAAAAGTAAAAAGGAAATTGTTAATGTCGGTAAACTTGAAAAAAATGGAAATTGATATGATCACATTCTTAATCCATCTTTTATTATAAATACATAAGTCAACCCTGACTACCAACAATACAAAATAACAGGTGTAGAAAATTAGGTCAAACCCACTGATAGTGTTGTTTGAGTAAAGTAGTAATCATGAGAAGCAATTTCGACCACGAAATCGATAACAATCCTCAACCGGAAGATGCTGGAACGATCACAGTCACAGCTACGATCTTTGGGGATGATGATGACTTTGACACGCCATACACGACTAGGTCGCTTTCCATACAAGACTTCTTCGGTGGTGATGAGAACGAAGACTCCGACTGTCAAATCATACAAGAATTGAAGTGTTTCCTGCAGGTGGAAGCAGATATCGACGAAGAGGTTATCAGCGATGCGATGAAGAAACTAGTTGTCTACATTGATGGTGTAACTTGTTCCACAAGTAGTAGTGGCTATTCTCTTGGATGTGCTTTGGCGGTTCAGTTGGATCTTTTTCCTGATTCTCAGTCTCAGTTTGAAGAAGCCGTTCAAGTCTCGTTCGATGAGACCAGTTACAACACCCGGTTTAGACCCGCTAGCAAGGTCGTGGTCAAATCCCTAATAAGGAAAGTATACAAGAAGAAGATCGAAAAGGAAAATAGGAACAAGAAGAAGAAGATTAGCTTGGAAGAGTGCACAATTTGTATGCAAGAGTTTAAGGATGGTGGAAGACTTGTTCCTTTAGCTTGTGGTCATGAGTTTGACGAGGAATGTATTGTGAAGTGGCTTGAGACAAGTCATGTTTGTCCATTATGTCGTTTCGAGCTGCCATGTGAAGATCAGATGAACTAAGTTCTCCATAGGTTGCACAAATTGACTTGGGAGAGTTACTTGTTGTAATGAAGTTATGTATAGTATCCTTTTTTCCTTTCGATTCATTTGTATTGTTACTTGGAAGTATGTTGCCTATTTGTATACCTATCATAATAACATCTTTTGTTGTCTAAGAAACTTGGCCAACATCTATAAATAAAGTGTTTTTTTATTATTATATTGATTACAAAATATATGGTTCATCTCTATACACAGAAAAGCTCAAAACTCCTCCGAGTATTAATGACACTGTACTCTATATCCCACTCTAAAGCTGAAGTAAGAGGCTTCTGGTCTGGTTAAGAAATTGTTCTGAAAATTTCAAACGGATGTGTTGTTGTACATTCTATTGGCAAAAGTTGGTAAGTTCCAGATATTGAAAAACTTGAGCTTTATGGTTGTATTATTGCTGTAGATACCATTCTCTGAGGGAACCAGTTGTAAGAAAGTTGTATGATGCATTTCATGGAACAAAGAGGTACCATTGAGAAAGTGAACAAAGATATTTGGTAGTAGCCCGTCGCATACTATTAACAATGTGGTTACTAAGCACAAACAAAATCATCATGTAGATTAGCACCAAGTGAGTTATATAGGCACATACATGTGCTTCTAACAATCTCACACACCGAAAAAGACCGTAGCAACCTAAGAATCATGGTATTCTCAGTAATATAGAGATCATGGATCTAATTAACTCACACTCTCTTTTCCCTCTGCTTGTTTCTGCTCTGCAATATACTGGTCAACTCTCAAAGCATTACTTCCCCTTCTCCGTCTTCTCCACTATCCATTTCTGCACATGAACCTCCATGGATTTAAACCATTCTCCTAGTGTCATTATCCTTAAATCAACCTTCTTATTACTCCTGGACTCCTCAGCCTTTTGTTCTTCATCATCACACTCACCACCTGATGTCTCCAATCTAGCCTCCTCGCTCTTACAGTCGTCAATTGTATCTTGTAAGTTCTCTGCCAGTTTCAGGTTCTCCTCTTCTCTCTTAGATGCCTCAAAATCTTCCTTATCACTTGTTTCACTGTGACCTTTCTCATCTTCAACATCCTTTTCATTTTTATTTTCTTCTTCAACCTCGTCATTTCTAGCTTCCAACTCTTCTCCAGCGTTCTTATGCTCCTCCACCTGAACATTAGTCTCAAAGTTCACTGACTCCTCATGATTAGATACTTTAGCCATGGTTGCACAAGCTTTCATGACGCTAGAATCAGAGTTGTTGATCACAGGGTTCCAACTCTGAACTACTTTATCAACAGAACACCGATGGATATCTTTGGGAAATGGATCTCCTAGACTCAAATCATTACTGGTGTGTGGAAACATAGGAGGAACCAGGTCCATCTTGTTGGAGGGATCGAGACACCAATCTACACGATCCACTAGCCTAGCACCTGTGCATACACACATTTACATGAATTATTTGAAAATACAAACAACCCAAAGTGCCTTGGTCGTGTGAACATGTCACATAGATTAAAACATCAAAAGGCTTTTTCTTTCCTAATTAACCTGAACAATAAAAAGCATAAACTTTCCCACACTTACTTTCTTTAACTTGTTCATAGACAGATTCGGAGAGATTGAAATCAACAGTGTAACGCCTAAAGCTAAGGATCTGAGCGGTGGAACTGTTGGTCTCAACTAATCTCCGAAGAGACACTCGTCGCGAAACGGCCATCTCTCGAACAAAACCCAGAGCCGAATCTGAACTAAGAGGAGACCCAGGGATATATATTTCTCTGTCCAAGTAGGGCGAATCGATCCAGGGCCGTTGGCAAGAACACCAAAGCCTAAAAGAGATATTGGAGAAGTGCGTTTGCAGAGCTCTGTCCACGAAGTGGCGGTACCTCCACGAATCTGCAACCAGCGTTTCAAAATCGCGCTCGAAGCTTCGGAGACAAAGTGTAGGAACGTAGCTTGGTTCCAATAGGTCGAAGAACGAAACGAGGATTCCAAACGGTTCGGATGGATCAATGATCCGACCCGGAATCCATGAAGAATCCGAAGGGTTTAATCTCACCCAAACTAGCTCCCCTTTCTTCCACATTCTTCTCTGACAGAAATTAGGGTTTCTCTTTAAATTTAGGGTTTCTCTCTGTGACAAAGAGAAAAGGATGTGTAGTTTAATTTATGGACTATAGAACTTTTTTGGCGCTTTGTCAACCTTCCAACTTCCTCCTAAGAGCATCATTATAACTGGGACAAAATTTTGAGCTCTTAAAATTTTATATTATTACTAAATATGATAATTCGCACGGCACACGGAGTGAATTTTTTATACTAATGTTTGTTCATTAGATGGTTTTAATATTTTACAACACTACAGTATTTATTGATTGTAAAATGACGAATACAAATTTTGGTATATTAAATTATTATAGGTCGGGATGTTTGGAGTAAATTTTTTATACTAATGTTTGTTCATTAAATTGTTTTAACATTTTGCAACACTACAGTATTTATTGATTGTAAAATGACGAATACAAATTTTGGTATATTATATTATTATAGGTCGGGATGTTTGGAGTGAATTTTTTATACTAATGTTTGTTCATTAAATGGTTTTAACATTTTGCAACACTACAGTATTTATTGATTGTAAAATGACGAATACAAATTTTGGTATATTAAATTATTATAGGTCGGGATGTTTGGACCTCGTCGATTTTAGTTTGATTGAGACATATTTTCATATTTTGGTATTATGCTCATAAGTCCATTCGGGTTTTATTAATTATCGGGTTGGATTCGGTTTGGTTACTTCCTAATTCAGTTTGGATTAGATTGTAACCAATATCTAAAAGGGAAGTTAACTCAACTAGTATAAATTTTATTAATTATTATCACAACCATACAAAACTTTTTTTTATTACTACCTTTTTTTTAATACCCAGCGTGCCCTTTTTTTACGTTGTGAGAAAAAACATATTTACGAGAATGCCACTACTTTTTTGTGACACGTAGGCAAAAAATCGGGTCCACGTAAGAATGCGGCGTAAAACTCAGCCTCAATACGATATGAACTTCGTTACGACCGAGATATAGGTGTGTTTCGCCTGACTTAACTAACCTAGCTGACTTATGAGAAATAAGCTGAGTTATGAACATAACTCAGTCGATCGTTACGACTGACTTATAAAAATCTGGCTGGTTTATTTGATAACGGCTGAGTTACGGTCAGATATTACGACTGACTTATACATCCTTAGGCTGGTTCCTGGAAAATCCGACTGCGTTCTAGTTACCAGAAGGCTGAGTTAACTATCGTGGCTGGTTAATTGATCGTCGACCGGCCGAGTTATGAGATGTTTTTACAGCTGAGTTATATTTAATCAGCCGTCATAAAGTGGAGTAACAGTAAACTCAGCTGATTTACGGCTGACTTTTTAGCGAAAGATTAATTACTAGAATAGCATTCATTTGCCGGCTGGTTTATTTAACGATAAAGCTGACTTCTTGCGTTTCATCTCTGTTATGGCTGATTGTTAACAAAAAGTTAATTACTAAAATAGTATTCACGTTTTGACTGACTTACGGTGTATTAAGTGGCTGACTTATTGTGGCTGACTTAAATGTTCGTTTGGTGGCTGAATAATTGATTTTCCATGTCATCATCCATGTCAGCTTTTATTTTCCATGTCATTACTAACTACAACAACGAAATTAGGGTTTATGTTACAGACGCCGCTATCTGTTCTTCACCTTCTTCTCTTTCTCTAATTTCTTATGGATCCAGTAATCATTGTTTCAGGTAACTGGATTAAGAAAGACAGATATGTATTCACACCCGACAGTAGAGGATGTATTGTTCTGCATGCAGATGAGAAAACAACACACGACGAACTGGCAAAGTCAGTACTCGATGATTACGGATTGAATGAGTCGATCCATCAGATTCAGCTAAGCTACCAGTTCTCGAATAAAGCTTTGAAAACAATGGCTCACGACACGCCACCAGTTTACATCTCCAATACTCGTCAATTGCAAATATTTTTAAGCCTAAGGAAAACCGAAAGATTACGTCTCTGTGTAGAGATTACAGAGAACGAGGATGATGAGATCAGCCGGAAAGACGGAGCGGGAGAANTAAGCCTAAGGAAAACCGAAAGATTACGTCTCTGTGTAGAGATTACAGAGAACGAGGATGATGAGATCAGCCGGAAAGACGGAGCGGGAGAAAAGAGTAATATATTATACAGTTTCAGCTCAGAAGCAGAAGTCTCAGAAGTTGAATCTAGATACGATGGTTTTAGTTTGGAGGAGGAACAGAACGACAATGAGAATATCTTGGACAGAGAAAAACAGAAAGATGTTGGAGAAGATGAAGAAGGCGAAGAAGATAGTGAATTTGATAGCCGATTTGATATGTTCGACGACTCAGATGGTGCGTCATCCGAAGATGATAACTTTAGCTCATATGGTGAGTCTCCAGCACGAGACGAAGATTCACCGACACTACCGCCTAAAAAGAGATCTCAATCGACTGAAACTTCTTACAATTGGAGCGGATCTAAGGGGGATTCAGAGGTTTTAAGGTTGGAGATGTCTTCGCTAAACCTTTCTGTTGGGCAACAATACCAGAGTAAAGCTGAGTTGGAAAGACGATTGAAACTTCTTACAGTGAGAGATCAATTTGATTTTGATGTGGAAGTATCCAATCCAGATTTACTCATTGTTAAATGTTGGGTTGGTGGATGTCTCTGGAGAGTTCGTGCTTCAACACAAGGGGATTCCCCAACATTCTATGTTCGTATTTACGATTCGGAACATACATGTTCTGTAACTGAGCGTTCTAATCGATCTCGACAAGCAACACCAGATATTTTAGGAGAATTGTACAGAAACTTTCTCGGCGACGTTGGTCCGGGCGTTCGACCTACGAGCGTGGGAATAGCTCTCAATAAACAATTCGGTCTCAAGGTAATTTCTGTTGTATGGCTGACTTATATCAATGTTACAGCTGAGTTATATCTACACTTTGTGGCTGACTTATACTAACGTTCGGCTGTGCTAGTTAAGTGATAGGCTGAGTTATATAAACATCGAACGATGCGGCTGAGTTAGCTGAATTATCTGGCTGGTTTATTTAAACTTCAACGTTTCGGCTGAGTTAGTTAAGTATATGGGCTGGGTTATGTATACGTTACGGCTGAGTTATTTAAGTTATCCGACTGAGATATTTATACGTTCAAGCTGAGTTA